GCTCTTTAATGGAACTTTAGTTGTAATTGGCTGTGACCAAGAAACCACCGGTTTCACTTGGTGGGCCGAGAATGCCCGCCCTATCAATTTATCTAGAAAATTGTTGGGGGCTCATGTCGACCATGTTGGATTAATCGTATTCTGGGCCGGATGAACCTATTTAAAGTGGCTCATTTTATTCTAGAAAAACCCATGTATGAATAAGGACTAATTTTACTTCCCCATCTAGCAACTCTAGGCTGAGGGTAGGTCCTGACACAGAAGTTATAGATACTGTTCTATACTTTGTATCTGGAGTACTTCACTAAATTTTCTTTGTCATATTGGGCTTTGGGAGTATCTATCATTCATTTATGGGACCTAAAACTCTTGAAAAATCTCTTTCATTTTTTGGTTATGTATGGAAAGATAGAAATAAAATGACCACAATTTTGGGTATTCACTTAATTTTGTTAGGTTTAGGTACTTTTCTTATAGTATTCAAGGCTCTTTATTTTGGGGGTGTATATGATACCTGGGCTCCAGGGGGGGGAGATGTAAGAAAAATTACCAACTTGGCTCTTAGCCCAAGTGTTATATTTGGTTATTTACTATAATCTTCCTTTGGAGGAGAATGATGGATTGTGAGTGTGGATGATTTAGAAGACATAATATATATATATATGTATATTTTCTAAATATAATCTCCCTTTGCACTTGAGTTTCTCAGGGAAATGATTTATCAATTTGACACCAAATATAGTCACCTATAGTACCTTAATAAATGGTCTCTGCAGGCCAGGTCGCATTCGGGAGGCCTTGAGTCTATTTGAAAAATTACGAGTTGAAGGAATTTATCCTGATGCCATTACTTATAACACTTTGATTAGTTGGCACTGTAAAGAGGGTCTGTTTGATTATGCCTGTTTGGTTCTACATCAAGGAGTGAAGAATAAGTTAGTACCCAATGGTCAGACTTGGTTCATATTGGTCTACAATTTTGTGAAAGAAAATGAAAGGAGGAATTGGTCATTCTCTGTAGTATCACTGCCTGTTGTTTGAAAGAAACAAGTGGATTATGAGGACGACTTTAGTTACTTTTTTTTTTCTCTTTTCAAAGTATGTTGTTTGAAAGAAACATGGTATATATTGTTAAAGTTTTAGGTTATCGAAAAATTTCAACAACAAGAGTTATGTTACTAATTCTCCTTTTCAGCAAAATTAGCAACATAACCCTTATTATTAAATGTGAAGTGTATTTTTAGAAGGAAAAATGTATTATACATTTATTAACAATATAAATCTTGTCGATGAAAGTTTATATCACCAACAATAAACCCATGTTGTTAATAAATGATTCCTAAAAATAGAAATTTTAGTAGTGTACCAACAAGAGTCCGTCGTGACTTTGCTGATTCATTAAGTCTCCAGCATTCCTATGCCAAGATTGAGAGTTGAAAATATGTCGTGCAAAAAAGCCTTACAAGATGCAAAACCTTTTGCGGCCTCAGTCATCTAATGAATCCCAATGAAGGTAGGAGAAGTTGATTTCTCTGTTTATTAGTCTTCTAATAATGCAGAGCGTTCAAGATTTTGTTCAGACCCTCTTGATTTCGGGCTAGTTTAGTGCATCCATTTCATTCTGTTTATAATATCTATATGTAT